ATATACATATACTGTATATACACAGTATATATACATATACTGTATATACACAGTACATATACATATACTGTATATATACAATGATCAAGTTAAACCTGTGAGTATTGCTCTGCTGCTCTGCAGCTGTTCACATGTTCGAGGTGGTTTTAGATGTTTGATGATGACATGTTCATCTCTCAGGGGGGACAGTCTGCTCCCCTGGGTGTGGTGGGTCAACCATAACTGGTGCAGATATTTGGACAGATAACAGCTGCAGCCTCACCCCCACACATGTCTGCTCTGTCACAAACATCTGATTTATAATAAGAAACTTTCATTTGAAACCAACTTAAAGAGGAAATAAATTAGTGTTTATAGTAACTTGTGTCAGAGAGCTTTGTAGACGAAATGCCCTTTTTTTTTTCAACACGTCATTAATGTTTTGTGGAAAAAATACCTCAAAATCGCTTCCTGTTGTTTGGACATTGCACCACCTGGCGATGGGTTCTGGTACCACCTCCCAGTCCGGGCTCTCCTGCTCCAAAAGGCGCACAAAAGTAGATTTACCCGCCGCTGAAAACAAAACAGGAACAGAAAATCAGCTTCAGAGAAGTCCTGCAGAAACACAGCCTGACATTATATTATTAATCTGAAGCATGCTTAAATTTATGCGGTAAATTTGTTTTAAAGTAAATAATAATAATAATAACAATAACAATAATAATAATAATAACAATAATAATAATAATAATAATAATAATAATCAGGTCCTGTCATGCGCTTCCATAGTAAATGTTTTTTTTAATAATTTGCTTTGTTAGTTTTAATCCTTTGTAGACTCACCAATGTTCCCTTCGATTGAAACTCGTTTTATTCTCCTCTCCGTGGACTCGTCCATCGAACAGTTTAACGAGTCGTTCATGGAGTCGTCTGTGGACTCGGAACAGGGTCTTTTTGGAACAGGAGGCATCTTCCAAATTTAATATTTCCTCTTGAGCGGAGCGGACTCTACAGCTTCTACCGCCGACGGTTCTTCTTTGAAGTTTGGCGCGAGAGACGCGTCAGGACGATTTGCGCATGCTCCGCCGCAGAACTTCCTGTCGCCTACTTCCGGTGTTGTGTTAAAATTAGTTTTCCCTTCAGACGCAGTTGTTTTAAGCATCTATACTGTAGGAAGGACGCTAAATGAAAATATATTGATCTTTTTTTTTTTTGGTCAGTATTAGACACGAAAACACAGCGTGGAGCTTGAATAGCAGCAGTGTGGAATCCAGGTGTTTTAAGGGGGGGAACACATTTCGACACAACACCGGCGTTAACAGCGTCTTCTTCAGTTAAAGAAAAACATAAATAACCACACTGAGAATTTTAACCTGAATACTATGGACAAAAATGTACAATCAGTTGTACATGATAATCACTTGTTTACATAAATAAATTTTAACATCTGGTAAAACAGGGATTATTGTCCTGATGCATCTCAGTAATCCAGGTAAAAAAATCAAAARKRAAAAAATAGTATAGGTCCTCTGGACGGGTTCTTCTCTAATGAAACGTTTCGTCTCTCCTCCAAGAGACTTCTTCAGTCTGAGAGCCTCCATGTGACTGATACTCACATCACATGGCTATCGTTGACACCTAATTAACACCTATTGTTAACAGGGGGTGGAG